ATTCAGCCAAGATTTAAAAGCATATACCAATTAGATTCACAAATTTTATAACAGTTGCAAAGCAAATTCGTTTGCTGTACGTAGTCATTGAAAATAAAACTTATAAAATTTACAATTCTGCAGTATTAATATTAAGTAATTACATTAAGTAATTGTTAATTAAAAGTTAGATACGTTAAATTATAAATAGCTGGTCTTTACGGGGTTAATTAGTCAGTTTTTTTTTATTTCGTGAATTAAGTCGGGACTTATTCTGTATATTTTACTATAAAATAATTTTCCCGTAATTTTTTATTTGATTGACTGATCTAGACAGTCAAATCTTGTAATTTTTAAATTGTACAAGTGAAGAACAATTCCGTTAATGTAGCTGAATTTTCTGTTAGGAGGAATAGAAATCAGATGGAAAACTCAGTTATGGGAATAAAAAGATTCTCGTAGAAGATACCGAGTCAGTCAATTGTTTTTAATTATCTTAATCGAGTTTTAACGCAGCTGAATATTTAAACGGTCATTTTTGTAGTTACATTTTTTCGGTTACGAATTTTGTGATTATGAAAGATCGTTGCTACTGTACATACATACGTGCTGATTTTGTTATAACATATTATTGCATAAACTGATGCAAATGATCGAATAAAAAAATTAACACTAATAATAGTAACATTTGACATTAATATAATGATAAATTTCTCAATATATAAGATCTCAGTTTCCGTATCTGTTTGGATATAAGGGATACGTCCGGCCATTGATACTTTTGCCTGACCTAATGCCTGACGAATTACTGTTTATCAAGAAATCGTTAGGTGCGATATAAGTTACGTTTCGCGAGCATATGCGATAGTCATCTCGTCAAGAACCGTTAAGGCTCATGCGGCGGTTACTGCGGCGGTACCGAAGTACAGCGCTCGGGTACTTAGCTCGGCTTTCCTAAGTGATGCGTTTCACGCTTGCTTTCTATACTCGCGGCCGCGAAGAACCGGCCTGGTCAGGAATGCCGCACGCGGTGATACAATCTGATTTAAATTTGACGCTATTTGCTCTTCTTACCTATGATTACCTAACGGCGGATAATTCGTTTCGCAACGCAGAGCCGACGGTCACGCAATCCTTCCCTCATCAGCGTTCACCACCGACCGAATCGCCGGGCCGCGCTCGCGAATCCATCTCTTTCTTTGAGCTTGTAACGACGATGTTCGAATAGAGATCGCCGCTTCGCTCGCGATTGCTGCGGGAAGAGCTATACAGCCGTCGTTAGACTATTAAGAAATAGAGAATGAAAGAGGGAGAGAGAGACAGAGAGCGGCGGCGATCGATTTTCATTTCCTTTAGCTGCGCTTTGATTATAATAAAATAATATCAAACATTTTTAGAGGATAGATCATTATAAGATACAAAAGGCTGATATGTGTGAATATAATCGTTTTGTTATAAAATATATAAAAATTTAATAAAGATGGTGAAACGAAAAATTTAGATTAAAATATATTAAAAAAAAGAAAAATATATATGGAAAATATATGGAAAAAAAGGAACACGATACATTTGGAAACAAAAATTTCTAGTAATAGACATATCTTAACTTCTTTATACAACAATATTATTTTCTTCGATTAGTCTTAAAATGCCAAAAACAAACTCAATCAATTATTAGATCCGTATAAATAAAATTTTCTAAAAAGCCTGATAAAAATGTAATCTTAATAAAATAAATATATGAAATAATAGACAATTATAATACAATAAGTTGCTGTGTTACAGTTTGTCTTATTGTAATTATCAGTTATAACATTACTTAATCGAGATTTATTAATCGAGATTTATTAATCTAGAGATACTGTCCATGTTGCGAAAACAACTATTGGAATTCAGGATCCAATCTTGATCTCTATTTAAGAATCAGGAAGGTGTGGAAGACCATATAAAAATAACAGAATGAGGATATCTTTTGATATACACTACCCATTATTACATGGATATAAACAAGGTGGAACGACAATTTCCATTTGGCATTTTGTTTTTGTAATATGAAGATGGAAATGTGCGTCATTATTTGCGATTTAAGGGAATATTTTTGTCTAAATATAAACACAATAACCACTAAAGAGGGCCAAATGTATGGCCAAGACATTTGTTATTTTATTATAATACAATGTTTACTAAATTTATATTTAGTTGTACAAAAAAATACACATTCACAACGTGTGTAAGTTCGAACAGCCATTATTGAATTTCTAGATTAATAAGATAAGTGAAGAATAATTCAATACTTAATAAAAATAAAATAATACAATGAGTTATTAGTTATTATTAACTTAATAACTTAGTAATAACTATTAATCATTTAATAATAAACTAATGTATTATAATTACATAGTTTTAATAGGTTAAGATCCTAATATAGATATATGATGGATCTAATTATTGCAATTTTATAAAAGTTTTCCTTATTCGATTCTTAACATACATGCTTTTATCGGTTATATTACGTCTTTAAAAAAAAATATTACCATACCTTTACTCAATTAAATCTTTGTACAATAAATGTATCTGAATTAAATTTATATTTGAAATTTAAAAGATAAATATTTTTGTACTTTCTTATATAAAAGCCGACAGATATTCAGCAAATAACTGGTGCGAATAAAGGTTTATATATCATTGTACTCGTATATATAAATATAATTATAAAAATACAGTTTGGCCTGACGAATATATTCAATATGTACATTCTATACATACACATTCAAAATAAAGATATTGTGGATCTAATTATTATAACTTTATAAAAGTCTTTTTTATTCAATTATCAACATACATTATTAAATATACCCACTCAGAACCATAACGTTGATTCGATGTTAATTTGACGTTGAAATGATCGGTAAAACGTTGAATCTACGTTAATTCAATCCTCATCAACGTCGAATCAACGTTGTCTAACTGGAATATCATATTCAAAATTGTGTTACATTTATTTTTACACATTAGATTACTTACATTAAATGTATATATATTAAATGAGTATACATTAAAGTAATGGGTGTACAAATTAGTTTGGTCCGTTTTCAAAAGTTATGAATGGTTCATAGTGACTGCCGATTTTGGCGGTTTCAGAAAGGTTAGACATCTGCCAATAATATTCAGTTTATATCGCTTTGAGTTTCATACAAAAACCTTGCTTTTTACAGTGTTGAAAATGTTGAATTTTGTGTTAATCAAGCAGCATTTGCGGGAGGTTTTAATTTTCTGCTTTAATTGAAAGAAAAGTGCAGCTGAACCCCATCGAATGCTTGTTGAAGTTTATAGTGACGTTGCTCCAACTGATAAATAATGTATACTCATTACTTTACATTAGATTCTTGTACAATATATAAGGCATATCCGATAAAATTTCCAGTCGAGATACTATGGCATTTTTTACTGATACTATTACCGATATAGCGATATAGGAAATGCGTTGAAGAAAAATACTTCGATATATAATATATTTTGAGGCGAATGTACGAAGTGTGAGACACTTTACACGGCTTATTGACGCACTGATTATTGAGTCGTTACGCTACTTAGAGGCTGTTTACCGCACTTTTTAACGAGTCAAACAGCGAGCACCGACTCATGAGCATTCGTATTACGGAAAACCGCGCTACAGTCTGCTAATTGATACGCAATGATACTCTTGGAGATATGAAGGTGTGTTACCAAATTCTTACTGTAAATAAAAGATGCACGGCTGGCTAGGGAGTACGAAATTCAATGAAAAATCGGGTGATGCGGGAAAAGAAAAATTTACCAAGTGATTCCCGCTGTAAGCGTTGCGCTCATACTTCTCATTTTAAATTGGAAAGCTAGGTACGTTGCAAATAATATATTAACAATTACGCATTATATTAATATATCGATAAAATATATCTGATCTAATTTTCATTTGTATATTGTTTTAATAAATATGTTTTAATAATATTGGTGATGCAATCGATTTACACATAAAATAATTCTTTTATACATTTCATACTGTCTAACAACTATGTCGATAACTCAGCTTCACATAATGCCGTTGTTCGCTTATATATCTACTGCGGGCATGATATCCGTTTATGATAACGCAAGATTATTATTTATATTATTATATTATTATTATTTATAAATTTATATATTTTATTATTATTTTTATTATTTATCATTTATTATATGCAAATGTACATTTTTATTATTTATTAATATTGTTGCTTTTGTTTTGCTTGTCTCATCTTTTTTATCTTGTATTTATTTAATAATCTTAACATCCCTGACATGAGACAAATTCCAAATAACTGGTAGAGGGCTGTAAATATAGACAAAAACTAATTACTCAAGTAAAGAACGACCCGAACAATAAATTTGTTGGTCAATAGTTGGCTGTTAAAGATATAACAATATTTTGTGCTACTTGGGGGGTACTGACTTCGGATTATTGTCCACGGGGAATAACGATTATCATCATGATGATAATGTTGGAAAGGATAAAGTAACTAAGTAAGCGCGCAGGAATGTATATGAAAATATAGAAAATATATTGTACAAAATTTATACATACGCTCTAATTAAAGAATTTGATCATTGTAATTATTTTATCGTGTGCATTCGTAAAGCAGAAATATCAGATTGTATTTATAATGTCTGTTAATAATACACATCTCATTAAAAACGTATATATTACAATACTTAAAACCTATTTCGGCTTTTTATATAACTATATTATTTATTTTCAATTGTACAATAACAAAATAATATCAGACTTACAGAGAATAATTCGTTATAAAATATCAAAGGCATACATATTGCATTTTGTTCAGACATGTAAAAAACGTAACGCTAATATGACCGCAGAATATATAAACCGCAGAATGATTTACAAAATTCCTTTCTAAACTAAATAAAATATAGCAACAATAGAGATGCGATTGGAAGCAAAAAAATTTCCAATATAATAGGTATATCTTAAATAATAAAATAACAAAAATATTTGATTCCTTATAAAATGTTTTACAATTTCATTTTACTATTTCTTAGTCAAAGTGCGTCTTCATGATGTATTTCCAAATGCTCTTGCATTATTTGCTACCATCATTTATTATTATTGTCATCATAAAGATCATTATCATAAGCTATAATCGTTGCGTTACTTCTCCACTTTACTGGCAGTCTTCTCATCGTATTGAACGGATGGCACCATGGGTGGTTTGAAGCCGTACTCCATCTTCGACTGCCTGAAACTATTAGGATACTGCGCCTCCGGTTGTCTAGTTCTCCTCGGACCACCGATAGTCGTCACCGGCGACTGCGTGACGCTCGTAGAGTACGAGGACGGTTTCACGGCGGGAGGAAGTTGTTTGGCTTGTGAGACGAATGCCTTGCGCGGCGGTAGCGGACCAATATACTCGTCCTTAACCGCCTTGTCCTTCTCCACCAGGTTATACACGATCTGCCGCCTAAAGCTCACTGATGGTATTGTATACGAGGACGCGGACGCGTGCGGTCGCAGCAGCACCGTGTGATGAGCACCGAATTTCTTTGGCACCATCATCAGCCGCACATTGCCGGACAGATGCGCCGCCGCGGGCACGTGATATTTGCCGTGGTCGAGCAGTCCGTGATCATACACGAGCGGGGACCTATCGTAGAGATTACCGTAGAGCTGCGTGGCATTTGATTGACCGGATTCAAACGCGACATTGCTATCGTATCCGGGATCAATGTTTTCGCCGCCAAAAATCGGTCTCTGTTGGTATTTGTATTTTATCTCGATTGGATCGTCCCGATCGGCGTCTGTGGGATACGGTCGAGGAGGTCGCGACAACCCGGCCAGCGATTTCTCCGCGACCTGCTCGATCGACGTCGACGTCACTTGCGTCGGTTGTTCGATCGGCGACCCCACCTGCGCCGGGTAAGTTACGGGAGACTTCAAGTGCAGCGGATACGGCGCTGGAGGCTGCAGAAGCAGCCGTTGCACCGTGTACGGTATTCTCTTCTCGAGCGTACGCTCAATGTGGATCGGGTAGAGTTGTGGCACACGGACCTGCTTCTCTACCAGTCGGTTGACCGGTATGTGCACGGGATACGGCTGTGGCACCGGCACCGGCACCGGTATCTGCACCTTCTTTTCGATCACCTTCTCTATCTCGACCGGGTGCGGCACGTGGACCGTCTTCTCAACGATCTTCTCGATCGGATAAGGTCGTGGAATCGGCACTAAGAATCCTGCATTTACCGGCGAACCGTTGGGGATAATTTTGAGGAGAAGTTGCGTAGGCTGCTCTTGAGGTCTACTCGTTTGCGTCTGTAAGTGGAACAAGTGCTGCTGATTGATCGATTGGTCCGCCGATGGTAGCTGCTGTTCCCGATATGATGCAGCTGTTGTTACGTATGGTCTCACGAACTCGCCCGTTGTTTCGTGTCTTGTGGGACTCTCGTGGAGTCTGGTGTGCAGAGCAGGGTCGTTGTCGTTACTGTTGATGGTATGATGTGCGTTGGATTGTTCATACAACGCGTCGTTGAATTGATTCGCGATCAACAGCACAGGTCTCGCTTCGTTATACTGTAGCGGCTGCGACTCGAGGCTGTCGACGGGTACTCGTTCGTGAGTACTTGAGGTGTATTTCGTGACCAAGGCTGAGGCCGTCGGTTTGCCAACGTCGTTCTCGAGAATATTGTACTCTTGGCGATGGAACTTCTGCGGGAGCGCGGAAGCTGCTTGCCCCTTAATGACGGACTTCTCGATGGCGGCGTCGTTTCCTGAAAACGGAAGCCGGCGTCAATATATTATCTGCCGCATTCCTCCGCACGCGGGTGAAAACCGGCAATTTGTGGTGGCGCCGATGCGTGCCGCGATTATGAGGCGCCGCGTTATTACTCGTATGCGGTGAGCATTAGGCCGACAATGCCGACTGTTAATTTAAATTTGCGTCACGCTGCTCATCAGTTGTTCTCGTAATTTGGCGAAAGTTAGCATTAAATACTCGAAACGCATTTTCAATAAGTAATCTCTTAACAATCGGTCTGACAGATCGGCAACAAATTTGATTAGGAGCTGTCGACAGATTCATCGATATTTATGCTCGCATTCATATTCTATCGACAGAATCTGCTGAAAGAATCTGCTGCCAGCAGATTGGCGGCAGAAAGTGAACAGGATTTGCAGTATATTTCATTTAATTGGGACGACAGATTCTGTTTAGTCTCTGTCGTCAGTCTGTCATCATACTTTGCTATCAGATCCTGTTGCATTACTGCTCTTTAGCAAGACTTTTGATAAAATCTACAGCAGATACTGTGCAAAATTTATTTTTGCAGGTTTTGCCATCTGAGTTAAAGTTAAGGTGTTAAATCAGGAATTGAGAAAATGAATAAAGAGCAGTTTCTACCGATTAACGAAAATTTCGTAAGTAGTTACAATACTAAAAAAAATAATCCAATAAAAATAATTAAATTTCAGGGTGACTTTTACTGAAGGACGACGATTTATAATCTCTAGTTGGTCGATAATCTAATCGATGATTTATTATCGCTATTTGTCTTGTGTTATATTTGCCCTGTCTTATGCAAAAATAGATCAAAATTATTCTTCTGGCTATTGTTGTATAGGTTATATAATTATATATATAATTGACGATTGATGTTAGAAAGTTCGCTTTCTATTCATCGATTATTTTAAGCGAAATTTGGCGAAAGTCACCATTGGAGTTACGCAAATTTTGTTACACAAGAAATAATTTCAAATTAAATTAAATGAAAATCGAATATGATTAACAATCTAATGTAAGGAGATTTGAATTCTAAAATTTAATTAACGGGAAAAGTTAACGAAATTGAAACGTAATTGTGTACTTGCTTTTTTAACCATGAAGTAGCTGACTATATAATGTAAGTAATCTATCTCTGGTTAGGAGATTAAATATTATAAATCAGACGAGCACAATCAATAATAATATTGAATAAACTTCATGGATCACTTTCTGAAATTAAATTTTGAGAGCTTGTTTTAAAAACAAAATATTAAAAAAGCAAAATTTTACTGAAAGAATCAGGGCAGTTAGTTTGTCATATACAGTCCTGAAATTGAATTTGTTTAATTCAATCACTGTTCATACTAGCTAGATTGCTGACTTTCCTTTAACATGTCCCAAGTGGAGGAAATATAAAACATTATATTATTTTGAGTTTACTCATATATTAGGTACAAATGAATAATCCAATTTTTTCAGCTACATTCAAGGTTTATTTTAAAAGAAAGTAAATTAAATTGTTCAATCAAAGTATTCGCCGTTGTTTTCTATAACTTTAAGCCATCTTTCAGGCAGCTGATGAATTCCATCTCGGAAAAATGTTACGTCTTTGGACACGATAAAGTCGTCAAGCCATTTTCGGATCTCATCCACTGATTGGAAGTGCGTATCGGACAAGGCGTGTGCATCGACCGGAACAAGTGATAATCGGATGGAGCAATGTCTGGTGAATACACCAGGTGCTGTAAGACGTCCCAGCCAAGACTCATTATGGTGTCTTTTGTATTGGAAGCAATGTGTGGCCTGGCGTTGTCATGCAACAATTTCACTGGACGTTCTCCTTTGCCAGTATACGGGCGTTTTTGTTCCAATTCTTGACTCAAGCAGATTAACTGACGTTGGTAGCAGTCCGCAGTAACTGTTTCACCCGGTTCCAACAACTCATAATAAAGCACGCCCTTAATATCCCACTAAATGCAGAGAAGAACCTTCTTTCCGAAGCGATTGGGTTTTGCGACCGATTTTGATGATCCGCCGGGATTTACCCATGACTTTCTGCATTTCGGATTGTCATAGAGTATCCATTTCTCATCGCCCGTAACGATTTTCCACAAGAAAGACTTTCGACGCTGCTTATTGAGAAGAGAAAGACACGCTGTCACTCGTTGATTTTTGTTGATTTCAGTGAGTTCATGCGGAACCCATTTTCCTTCTTTCTGGATCTTTCCCATCTTATTTGGAAATCGTTTGCTGCGTTACTCCCAACTGTTCTGCAAGCTCTTTTTGTGTTTGTGCCGAATTCTCAGCGAGCAGTTGTTCCAAATCATCATTGTCGCACTTCGGAGGGCCTCCAGGGCGTTGTTTGTCGATTAGACTGAAATTACCGCTTTTAAACCGCTTAAGCCAAAATGCGCACACATCGTACGATACAACACCTTCGCCGAGAAAAGAACAAATCGATTCGCACGCTCTTGCAGCATTTTTTCCTTGTTGGAATTCGTAAAGAATGCAATGTCGGATATGCACCTTATCTGTTGTCATTTTTGACTGTACTGAACTGAATTTTGAAGGTTATGTTGGGCCTTTCGCCAAACTATATGTTCTTTTCAACAGCTATATGTCAACATTGCATAATCACAAAAGAGCGGGAAAATCTATTCAATTTAAAATTGATTTCATAACTGCTTAAAATAATTTGGATTATTCATTTGTACACCTAATATATAAAATACATCGATAGTTATTACTAAAATTATACATACACATACAATATAGAATATATAATAATATAAGTTTAATATTATTAAACATTTGATAATATCAAACAAATAGTACACATGTTGTTACACAATAAACATCCAAGATAGAAGAAAAAATAAAAAAAGTGTAAAAGACCGGAGTATTTATAGTTTTAAAGCTTATGTTCCTATACCGCGGAATTTTTCGTTCCTTTCTCATTTACCTTTTCTCAAAATTTTGTCACCTTGATTTTTCGTTTAGTTATTGATTGCCTCAACAAAACGGAAGCATTTTAGAAATATATTCGATCAATATTATTTTATAGGTATATTTTTTATTTCTAGATCTAATCCGTAGGAATTTTTAACCCGAGTTCTGATGTCAGTATTCAAAATGGCTACGAAGAAGAAACAATAGCTTTAATGAAATGAAATATATGACGTACTATTTTTCTAATTAAAATTGATATGAACACACACATACAGATAATATATATATGAACACTCAGAATGATATGATACAACCCTTGCTATCATCCCATTGTTTAAAGTCAGCAGATTGGCTAGTATGCAGGATTCAACTGTGTGAACTTAACTCTAGTTGCTTTAACGAAATCTGTTTTCTTATACTATACCTCGATAAGTATCATAATTCAATTGTGATTCCGAGTGTTCGTCCTGCTCGTATGGTTGTCTCGATCTCGGTGCATTTCCAATGCTGTTCGTCTCAATGACTCCGAGATGTGTGGTCTGCTGAATGTACTCTACAGGATAATGAATCTCGTGCACCGGTGCGGTGTGATACAACTCCACGGACTTTTGAATCTCGACGGAATTATCCGGTGCCCTCTGCGTGACGGCCTCGATCGTTCTTTTCCCTTCTGCGTATTGAACATTCTCGTCTTTATACTTGATGTCCGAGTGGTTTCCTTTGTTCTCGGCGAACCCTTCACTCGATGGACGCTGCTGCAGATCGTCCCGGAAATAGTCTTTCGTTTCTGTCGCGGCCGAAAGCTCGCTGTCATCCACTAAATCGGTTTTGACGTCATTCACTAGGGTGATACCGACCTGTAGAGGATTCAGCATAAGTGAAGAGGTCATTATACTGTTGGAAGTCGTTACCTTCGAACTCCTAACATTGGTTTCCGAGACTGAGGCGATATCTTCCAGCGGTCTCAACGATTCTGAAGAGCTGTCCTCGTCCATGTAATCAATAATCGCGTCTTGCTCTTCTGGCATGGGTAAGTCAGGTACCACGATGGGGCCCGAGAACTTAGTTAGCTGTATTGAGGGCCTGATTTCTACGGACGTTGTCGTTGAGACGCTCTCTGGCTCTTCAGTAGGTACCACAGCTTTCTTCAGGGTATCCTCAGTTGCATTGTGCGTTCGAGACGATCGTCCTTGCGGTTTGGGAAGATGCTCGGGTATGACGTCATTCTCGAAGACTGGACCGTTCATCGCGCTGGACGAACTCTCTGTCGAGCTTCTGAAGCGAGAATTTTCATCGAGACTCTTTATGGATAAGTCGAATCCAATTGTTTTCTCAGATTCATCAGATGGCGAAGTGTCAAACAACTCGTTTTCCTGCTTCGAAGTGAGTACCGATGGTTTCCGGGTCGTCGATGTATAGATCTTCCTTTGATTATCCTCTTGATTGAAGGGTGGCACGCCTCTTGATTGAAGGGTGCTGCTGATTGACTTCCGGAAACTCACGTATTCGTCATTTTGTTGGCCGTCGTTGATCTTCACAAGGACGCGCCCGGTTGTCTGTTCACCCGCCGGGCCTTGACGAACTCTCTGTCCGAAAGCGCCTGCGCTTTCTACGAGGAGCACATCCTCGGGTATCGCATATCCGGACTCGCCTCCGGGACTCTCTCGAAACGGGTATCTGTCGGCCGTCTCGGTGAGCGGCGTCGAGTAAGCCGATTCTGCCAACGAGGCAGAATCGATCGTGGAAACGCTATTCGATCTGCTCGCGCTCTCCGCGCGAGTCACTGGTCTACTTAATCCAGCGGCATCATTAGAATGGTCCTCGGTGCCGATCTGCCTAGAACCTCGCTCCTCTGGACTGAGCGTCACGTAAGGTTGTACTATCTGCTTTACTGGCGAATCACGGAACTCCGTGTAACCAATAGCCTGGAAAATTCATACGATGTATCACCGTACAGAAAAAATTCGCTTATCCAACAATTTGTGAGACATTTGCTAGACAAAATTGAATGTTTGAACTTAACAGATTTGCTCGTGCGGCAAAAAAATTAAGTATGAAAGCGATTGCCAATCTATTCATGAAATAAATCCATTTTTGCAGATATCATCTTATTTATTGCAGCAAATCATTTGGTATTTTTAATTAATTTAAGCTTACAAAACATTTATCAATTTTATCAAGTGAAAAAGAAAAAATATGTTGTATTTGTTCAATAAAGAATTACTTTTGTGCGTTTTATAAAAAAGTGATTTAATTTTGTTGCAGTTACATTAGTATGTATACTTTTCCCATATTTTTATTCCGACATTTATATAATATTGTGAAACGTATTATACAATATTGATACATGAGACAATTTACAATTGTTATTTATTATCTATCAATGTCCGGATGTCCTTTCGTACAAGGTGTATAAAAAGTACCGGGACGGCGAAATATCTCGAAAACTAAGCATTTCAGAAAAAAATGTTTCGGACAAAAATTGTATGGTTTTAAAGGGGACATAAAACAACTATATCGTTTTTTTTTCAAATGGCGCTATTTTCGAGATATTCACTGATCATTATTTTTCTTAAATGGAAACCTCAATATTTTATTATATCATCTTTTTCTACCAATTAATTTTAATAATTTTTATCTAAAACATTTTTTTATTTGCCTAATATTTTTTAGATATTTAAGAAAAACTTGATAATATTTTTAATATTCAACTTACGATATTTCGCTAATTATTTGTCGGAAGAAAAAGTGGACTTTTTTACTCTATTTAGTCTCAAGAATATAGTGTTACAAAAGCGCCTTGATTTTTCTTGATTTAATAGTTTTGACATTTTCAGAAGTCGATAAGTTATTTCCAAGATATTTCGCCGTCCTGATACTTTTTATATATCCTGTATAGTAGAAATCTTTTCGTTTGTTTAGAAGAGGCATAGGATGAACTTAACGATGTTATGGGATCGTATTCAATTTATATGAGACATAGGAATAGCCATTATAGCGAAATTGCAGTTTTAATTAACTTCTATTGATAGAATAACTAATTATTATCTACAATTTTAATTAATAATTTTTTGTATGTGTACATTTTTTATATTTTTCTTATATACAACTTAAACATTTTTTTTATATACAAACTTATCTTCTGGTATCAGGATATGTTACAATACAGCATGATTATATTTTGATTATCACAGAAAATGTACAGATATAGAAACACAGAGAAAGGTTATCTCTGTTATCTTTATTCTTATTAGAGATAGAATTTATATGATATATTCGAAAAAATTTGAAGTTGAAGTTTGAAGCTTGAAATAATTTTAACTTCGAAAATTTGAGTCTTTGAATTTTATTCAAAAATTCGAAATGTCGAATTTCTGAAAAGAACTAATTTTCAGAAGTGCAACAAGATGCTGTGCAATTTTTATTGTTCGAATTTTTGAATGTTGGAATATTCACACATTTTAAATTTTATTATTTGAATATAATATTTTGAAGTTTCAGAAATTTTAGTTTCAGAGGTTTTGAAGCTTCGGTGTGTATCAGAGCTTTAAATATGACTTATAGTTTTAATTGTAACAACAAAATTCTGAAAAGTGTACCGACATCTGCGCCCGGTTTTTGCCTGTTTATTACACTAAGGTTCATTGGTGATCCTAACAGTGATATTGAAAAGTCAGATGGTAATTACCGATAACTCCCATAGTACAAATAACGTAAATCAGTCATGAGAGAATTATATTTTATCGTCCACGACGCGCTCCGCATCCGTGCTAAAATGCACTTCCTTTTGTTTCTTTTTGCGCTTCTAATTATCGCGCTTGACGTCGCTCTTGGAAAAGGATGTTTTAAACACTCGTTGAACAAGCGTTCTTTCTTTTTCCGTCCCGCCTAACTTACTTACTCAATTTCTTTCAGCTCTTCCTGCGATATCTTCGCGTTTATATCCACCGACTTGACAAGAAAACGAAACACTTGATCGCTTCCGAGCGTTACGGATTTCCAAACGGAGCAAATCGTGGTGACCCAGAAGATTTTGCAGAGGAAGAAGAGCGCCGACAGATGGACAAACGCGTCGTTCTGATTACTCCGAGATAACAGTATCGTCATATTTCTGCGAGTGAAAAGTCAGCTAGCGAAATCTGCCGGCGCGTTCTACTTTGTAAACAAATTCGCTCCACCATGAGTTTCGTCCAAGATGATCGTCTCGAGAGATTCAAAAAGTTCAGTTATGTGTCGTCGCTTCCCGATGGAAAGTTTAATAAATTTGCTGAACAAGCATGTACCTTTACTAGGAGGGATTTTTTGCAAAGTTCTCGCGGGAGATCAGTCCTCGAAGTTCTCCAAGAGAAGTGCTCGCTACATGAAACTCGCGCAGACACACCCATTAAAAAGAATTCGTGACATTCCATCGCTTCCCTTCGCAATCTCGAACGGCGTCGGTGGCGGCCTTTTCTGCTTCTCCGCGGGAAGATCGGCACAGCGGCAGCAGCGGAAGGCTCAAAATAACGCATCTGGCCGATCTGACTGTACTCGAGATGAGAGAAAGGTGCAGTTACGGTACCGACGCCGATCTCCCTTTCTCCCGTGCTGTCTGAGCAGGAGAAGAAAGGAGAAACGGGAAAGATGCGCCGCATTCTTGCACCGCATTCACGCAAAAGAAAAACTAGTGAGAGTCGCGTAAATCCCGACGGTCCAGCGAGAACGAAGAGGACCGTCCGAAGAGACGCATGGGCTACGTCCTCGAGACTCACTGATCAATCCTTTACTTTCTTTTCGTGTCTTTGACTTCTTGCTCTTCTTATTCTTCTTCTCTTTCTCAACGGAACTAGACCGCGTTCCCGAGCTTATCTATTAAATGTAGAGTGAAATTGAATAAGAGATAAAATTTCGCCATATTCTTTCGGTTTGAAAAATCTCATCAGCGAAATCCTTTAACTTCTTCAGGTACACTGACACGTATGTTTATATGTGCATTTATACATGTCCATTTTTTATTTAAATATTGTTGATCAAAATATAACAAAATATAACAAAACATTATTGTAAATTAATATTCATCTCACAATATTCTTCGATGAAGAGAAAGGAAAAAAGAAGTCTCGTCACATGTAATCGACAGATTTATGTCGCTGAAAAATTAGATCATTTCCTGACGACTTTAATAAATTCCTGCTTGAAACGGTTGAACTTCTTCGAATAAATAATTTCTCACGAATAACCTCATTAGGTTTTTACTTTCGGTTATGGAGAATAATATTATCATTTCTTTTTCGCTATTTATCCAAATATTTGAATTTCTTTCACGTATTTACCGATGTGGACGATATTTCTTATATCACAAAAAGCGAGACGTGTCCGCGCGCGTCTCAGACCTTTGTCACGGTGGATGGACGTGTAAATATTACGAGTAAATCAAGACGTAACCGCGACCACCGTGTGGAAAAACTTATACAACGCGTGTAAGAGGAAAACGGTACATCAGAAGCAATCACGACGGAACAGCGTTAACTCGCGCCGAATCCTGCGTTCGATTACACACTTCGCCGCTTAATCAATTCGTTTCTCGCAAATTCGCGTGACGTTGTGTAATATATGTGTGTGCGTGCGTGTGTGTTTGTTTGTTTGTCGCGCGTGTTCATGTGCGGCAGTGCCTTCCATCGGAACATTCTCGCCGGAGGAACGAATTTATGTCCGTGTGTGGCCACTTTCACTGGCGAGTTTCCTTTTAACGCCAAGAAGAAAACACACGCCCGTCGGCGCTCTGCCGCTCTGTCGTCGCGTTTTACCTTGTCCGTGGCAACGAACGCCCCTTGGTATTCAGTCTCGGTATCTGTATAATAGTTCGGCGTCCAATTTCACTCGAGTTCGCTCGAACTAATGCACGCGAATTAACCCGCCCGCTCACGTAACTTGCGTTTATATGCACGGAATCGCGCATTTTCACCGTTTAATCCGTAAATGACACTGAACGTCGTTATTTCGCGTGAGAAGATAAGCGAAATTGAACAACTTCCATGTTTCCGCGAGAGATCAATCGTTAGCTGGCCAAAGACCACTTCCAGTGAAATCTGCCAACATAATGCTTCTCCATTCTGCTATATTGATTCTTCGGTGAGCGTTTATGGCTGACTTTACTTTAAAAGAAACAAAAGGAGAAAACCACAGCAATTTTATAATGAGCGAAGCGCGTGCAAAAGATTTCAGATGAGTTATTTGACCCGGTGCCGATGCATTTCTGGTAGTAAAAGTAAATGAAAGTTCAACGTGAGAACGTGCGAAAATGTCCAGTGTATGCAAATGAAAGCGCACGGGGAGATATTCCTGATTGTCTTGATTACCAATTTCCTATCGAAGTAAATCTTAAAAGAACGACGAAAATTTAACGCAAGAACGCGTAAGAAAGTTCGACGCGTACGAAAGAGTGCGCACGAGGATAATTTTACATTTCTCGACTATGTTGATTCTTCAATTTCCGGAATTAAATTCCAAAGTTGCGATATCGGTCTGAATTATCGCCAACGTGCGATTCGTGAGTGAAATAACATGAATGACACAAATCATCCGCGTGTCTCCTCACGAAGAGACGACACATTGTAATGCCTCGGGGAAGACATTCCTGAAATACGACGGGAATCGCGACCGACGATGCTTCGTGCTCTACGATACAGATTTTACGATCGCGAACTGCTCGTGAGTGAAAATGTTCTCTTTCTCTTTCTGTTTTACGGGACTATACGACATTCACCCGGTCTACACCAGCTCCCAGCTGTAATTCATCTCGAGCCTGTCGCGCCTATACGTAAAGTAGCACTTGAATGACGTGCCGCAAGTAGATCGAGGTTAAAGATTTCTATGCCCCAAGGTTAAGGATGTTTGCCGATTCGTCTAAGTTCTAGGGCCTTTTAGTAATCACATGTCAGAGCGAAGGAAGAAAAAAAGAGAAAGAAACTTTTGGACCGTGCGTTCAAATCATCTGCGAAGTTACTTTCTCCACTCTACATCAGCGAGCGAAGCTTCCGCTCGTAAAAATTTGCCGCTGATGACCTGTATGCATATATTTGCGTATAATTGTCGTATAATTAATATTCGTCTAACTAAATTTCCGCACGAGGCAACGCAAAATAATATTTCTCGAGTTTACCTTCTTGTCGCTGAAATCTGCGATGCTGGATTCCAAGGACGCTGTTACGATTATCGTCCACGTAACAAGAGCAACCTGTAAAGCAGAAGAACGATATATCTCGCAGTCAAAATAATAATAACAATAATTGTATAATAATGTACAAATGCATAATAATGTATATGAATATGATGATAATGATAACACAAAAGTTATAAAGCAAAATCTTGCCGGGTAATATAAAGATAATATATCCGTTACCTATATATATTTGAATAATAATAAAAAATATAAAAAAATATGAAACTACCTGTGTCATACATGAAAATATCTCTACTGAAAAATTTTGCTTTCATTGTTGAATTTATTTATACATGATGACCTAAAAAGCATTTGTTATTTTTCTTGTAGATATAATATATCTCAAAAAGTTTTTTTTGCAGATTTTGTATTATTTCCTCGGAAATTTAAAATAGTAATTGTCTTTTGAGCCTTCTGCGTTTCAGAAAGCTGCGTGAATCAATGTGTGATTGATTAATATGATAAACGAAAAAACGGAAGGAAACATGAAAAGTCAAACATCACTCACAGCGTAAAGTCGCATATCTTCTGCCGTTAACGCATTAATAAGCAAGAGCGTTGTGAGAACGCCAGGAATCCTCTTCCGTGTTATTCGGTCGACGGATTTTTGCTCTTCTTGATTCACTGGGATCTATGTCCTCGATGACCGGCGTGCTTCTAGACCTGCGATGCGCCCACTTCGCAGCGAAACAGTGTACTACTTTGTGCCGGCGCGATACACTTGACTTAAGCCAAAGCTCCAGTTATCCCCACACCGGTAGTACGAGAAGCCGGCTGCTATAGCAGCCATCTACAAAATCCCGTCAGCATCCACGATATATACCTGAACGTGCGCCTTGCGTTGCTTACTCGACGACGGTCAGAGGCAACGAGAGAGGGACCAGGAAACCAGGAGGAGAGGACGAGAGAGGAAGCGGCGAAAACAGCCGTGGAGGGTGAATAACTTGGAGTGGGAGACAATCAATGGTACTCTTGCGATATCAGTACTGATGGCTGTACGATGCAGTGCGTTTCGCCGTAGTGCAAAGCGTAGAAGCATCGATGGTTGAGGTATTTTATATAGCTGCGAACGAAGAGGAGAAAATTGTAAAAATAGGAAGAACCGATCTAGGGAAAAAGTAATGTCGAAGCGCCATTTTTATTCCTGCATTAATCATGATGAACACTTCGTTTGCACGAATTCCTATTGTCTTACGGTCATCAGTAGTGCACGAGGCCGTGAAAGTGACATTGGCCGCTTGAAGAAGGGGTTTTAATGACTCTTCGATTTTCCTCTCTTTCATTCTCGAACGTTATGCGCGCCGTTATACTTACGGCGTTCGATTTCACTGAATTAAATTGATCTTTCAATAGGTCCGGTAAAAAAATGAAAGATCGGCCGACACGTTACTTGTGTCGGAAAAGATTTATGAAGAGGAAACTTACGCGAGGATTGTCTTGTTATGGAGAATCGTACATATACGTATCTTTCGGATATTCTTGAAGTTTCCTTGGGATCAACAACGCTCAGTATGCAACTTTAGGAATTTACGAGGGTAGGGTGAAAAATTTCTGGTTTGAATAGAATGATATAATTTTTTTAATTGATTTTCATTTATTTTTTAACATAATCGCCATTTAGCTCGATACACTTTTTTGCAACGATGCTCTAAAGTTATTCCAAACTGATAGGCCGATTTGTCAAAATTCTCAAAATAGTCATTTACAACGTCGTTGACTTCATTGTCGTTCGCAAATCATTTTCCACCGAGCTATTTTTTGAGGTTAGGAAAGAGATAGAATTCACTTGAGGTTAAATATGGCAAATATGGTAGGTGGGCAAACAATTTGAACTTTAATTCATTGATTTTAGCCATCGTAACAACTGATGGGCTTGGTGCATTGTTATGATGAAACAGCACTTTCTTTTTCGCCAAATGGCTTTTTCTTGATCTTCATTGTTCAAATGTTGCAACAAGTTCGCATAATACTCGCCATTAATTGTTTTTCCCTTTTAAAGATAGTCAATGAAGAATATTCTACGCGCATTCTAAAAAAACAGTTGCCATAATCTTACCAGTCGATGAAATTTTCTTTGCCTTCTTTGAAATTGGTTCGCCTTTCGTGGTCCATTGTTTTGCCTGTTGTTTGGTCTCAGGAGTATGATGGTGAACCCAAGTCTTATCAACGGTTATGAATCGACGTAAAAATTCAGTTAGATTGCGCTTATAGAGTCAAACAATCGTTTGAAACACCTTTTCCATATTGTTTTTGCTCAGGTGTGAGCAAACGCGGCACTCGTTTAGCGCATAGCTTTGTCATATTCAGATGTTAATGTAAAATATTGCGCACACGTTCCGTTGATATGCCAAAAATCTCCGCTATGTTACTCATTTTCATCCTACGGTCTGCCAAACTGTATCGAGCGGTTTGTGTCCTCCTCTTGGCAATAATTGTAAGCATTTTTACCAATATAAATTCTCATCTATTATGCGTAAATATGCATCGGCTCCATTATTAAAGGTACTTGCAACCACATAAGTAGCAATTTCTACGATTCGCAGGCTGCCAAAGGTTTTGGCAATTCTTTTTCGAAGCAAGTTTGTTAAAATTGGCACATCGATTCAAAGTCATTCTGCTTTATAATGTCAGATCGTACATTGTTATTGCGAAACATTGTTCGATTTAAATTGAGAAACTATCTAAATTATAATATTCTCAAAATATCGCTTCATCTATTCGAAATAAATCGAAATAAATATTTATATTAACTAAATATATGTATATATTAGGTGTACAACTTTGCTTCCGCCATTTTTTTCCGAAATTCGAGGCTTTATTGTAAAAAACTGGTTATACATTTATGATTCAAAGTATTGTCCATCGCTGGCCACTACTTTCTCCCATCTTTCGAGCAGCGTACAAATCCCGCGTTGAAAAAACTGGTCATCTTTTGAAGTGATCCACGAATCGATCCAATTTCTTACTTCTTCATAAGACGGGAAGTGCTGGTCAACCAGGCCGTGTGCCATTGATCGAAACAAGTGATAGTCAGAGGGAGCAATGTCTGGAGAATACGGCGGGTGGGATAAGACTTCCCATTTCAACGTTTCCAAGTATATCTTGACCACTTTCGTAACATGGGGTTGAGCATTGTCATGTTGCAAAATCGTTTTATCGTGTCTCTCGTTGTATTGCGGCCGTTTGTCTTTCAATGCTCGGCTCAAACGCATTAATTGCGTTCGATAACGATCGCTTGTGATTGTTTCAGTCGGTTTTAACAGCTCATAATACACTACGCCGAGCTGGTCCCACCAAATACAGAGCATGACTTTGGAGCCGTGAATATTCGGTTTGGCCGTCGACGTGGAAGCATGGCCGAGATATGCTCATGATTTTCTGCGCTTGGGGTTATCGTAATGAACCCATTTTTCGTCCCTAGTCACAATGCGATGCAGAAATCCCTTCCGTCGTTGCCTTTCAAGCAACTGTTCACAAGCAAACAAACTCCGTTCAACATCTCTCGGTTTCAACTCGTACCCCAATTTCTCGGCACCCAATTTCCTTGCTTCTGAATCATTCCCATGTCTTTGAGGCGTTTTGAAATTGCTTGTTAAGTCACTCTCAATGATCGTGCCAATTCTTCTTGACTTTGACACGAGTCTTCATTAAATAATGCCTCCAATTCTGCATCTTCGAAAACCTTCTCTCTTCATCGCTATGCCGGTCTTCGACGTGAAAATCACCGTTCTTGAAGCGTTGAAACCACTCACGACACGTTCTTTCACTAATAGCGGCCTCATCATAAGTATTTGAGAGCATTCGAGCCTCAGCCGCAGATTTCTTCATATTGAAGCAGAAAATTAAAACCTCCCGCAAATGACAAGAATTTGGCTCGTAAATTGACAATCGAGTTTCAATCGAGAATAACTTTATGATGCAGACACAAATCGACTAATGTTTCTATGGGGTTATGTTGACAGATGCCCAAGTTTATTGCATGACGTCTATGATCTATTTATTTCGACCACTACTTACCGCTAAAGCCATCTATAGGAAAACGGTGGAAGCAAAGTTGTACACCTAATATACAGGGTTTGTCAAAAACGTTTGTAGAAACCCTTAAATAATTTTTGTAAAAATGAAATTATCGAAAAACGGTAAAACACGTATTTTGATTTTTCAAAAAAGCTACCCTATGACATGGATACCGATTATTCCCTGGTACGCGGGGGTTAAAGGGGGGTTGAAAATTTTAAATTGGACTAAGGGTCGAGTGGAGGCTCATTTGAAAGGTCTTTTCATAACAAACACACCCTTAAAATTTTAAGTCGCTACGACCCCCCTTTAAAAAGGGCGGCCGTTCAAATTTCGAAATTTCATGCACTTACAAGGGAACGGTCGGGGGCATCCCTCACCGATTCGAATGGACATTGGATATGTTGTAGAGGATAAAAATATTAGACACGTATTTTTTTATATGTGCTTATCTCGAGGTTTAGAGGTTGAAATCACCCCTTGAAAAGAACGGATTTTTTCGTTTTTATCAAATATCTTCTAAAATATGAGAGATATGAAAACATAGTAAATGTAAGAGTTTTACAGTATTTGATACTATTTGCACCCGTCAATTCAAATTTTTCAAAATATCAAATTTACTCTCCCCGCTCTCCCCTCCACTCATTATTTTCGCAAATTTCAAAAATTTTGTAAGAACAAAAATTAAAGAGCATTGAATTCCGAATCCATCCATATATAATAATAGTATGATTCCTCGATTCAATTTCTAGAAAAACAGTACAATGACATCATGGTAGGCACTGCACTGTGCGAGTAGGTAGGTACTGTTACATGGCGTTCTTTCTTTTCAGTTGCGCTATGCTTAATAACTATCTGTGCATAATTTATCCTACTGCAAGATGAAAATGAATTAATTGTAATATGCCATGTATTATACAAAAAAAGAACAGTGAGTACAGATAAATGTATATATGTGGCAACACTACAACAGTAGTAAATGCGTCGCTATTTGTACAGAAATTTCCAATGTATATTTGTATATTTCTTGAAATAAGTATGTTTATTGTAATGGCAAGTCGACACACGATCCAGACGAACTAAAATAAAGTTGTAATGCCTGAAATAAGGAAACACAGATTCTATTACCTCTGCAAGAAAGAGCAAACGTGCGATATGAAAATATAACACAGCATTAACAATTGCTAAACAATATATAACAAAGAGTTTAATACTAATTAATAATAATGTAGAAGAACAGGATAGAGAGGAATAATATAATAAATTGTGGAAGAATAATACTGGCAATAATATATATTTAACAATATATGTGATAAAGAAACAGTACACAATTTGCATATGAACACGTGTGCAAATAATGAATTTGTATTATTTTTATGGTACATATTCGTTGCAAAGATGATGATTATGGAAAAAATGTGTCATACACAATGATTTTTTACATCAAGAATAAGTAATTATAACAGTTTGGCCACAAATATCGCATTTTATGTTTAAATCACTTTGGAAGCGTTAATAAATATGATTGATTTTGCAATTCATGTATCACTTCCGTTGTATTGTACTTACGTCAACCACCACAAAAATAGACACACAAACTTATCGTACATAAAATCTAACTTTCATAGAACGTATACGTATATCTTTTTATAAAGACAAAGCATAGAAATATTGTGTATAAATCTATGATTGTTATTAATAACGTTATTATATATTGAAATGTTTTATGATTACATATTCTCCGTATCGGTATTAATCGCCTATTATTCGAAAGAAATTCGAAGAGGATGTATTGCGTATATTATCGAGTGAGGTAGGCGCTGTGCATAGCATGTTACGGGTATACGGGTCACGGACATTTCCATCTATCTTTCGAAAAGTCCGTATCTCGGAAAGCACCATTATTATATATGGTTGGATTCGAAATTCAATGCTCTTTAATTTTTGTTCTTACAAAATTTTTGAAATTTGCGAAAATAATGAGTGGAGGGAGGAGCGGGGAGGATAAATTTGATATTTTGAAAAGTTTGAATTGACAGGTGCAAAGAGCATCAAATACTGTAAAACTCTTACATTTATTATATTTTCATGTCTCTCATATTTTAGAAGATATTTGATAAAAACGAAAAAATCCGTTTTTTTTCAAGGGGTGATTTCAACCCCTAAACCTCGAGATAAGCACATATAAAAAAATACGTGTCTAATATTTTTTTATCCTCTACAACATATCCAATGCCCATTCAAGTCGGTGAGGGACGCCCCCGACCGTTCCCTTGTTAGACACCATATTCTGTTCGCAATTCAATTGAATAAAAATACCGTCAAAGCCGCGAATATAATTTTTTCAGATTTGAAAGAAGATGTTAAGAAGATGCAAATCTTGTAAAAAGTATTAAGGATTTCGGAGTGATGACAATATATGACAACGCTACATGTTTCAAAAAGAAAGTTATTAGTTAATCTTTAGTTGAGAAGTGTTTACTTATGCAGCGTACTCACCAGATTTAGTTCCGTCAGATTATTTCGCTTATTTCGATCACTCTAACATCACTTGACTGATATATGCTTTAAACCAATAAAAGAGGTTCGCAAAAACATTAATGAATTTATCGATTCAAAATCGTCATCTTTTTTTCCGAGATGGAACTGATCAGTTGTCTGAAAGATGAAGAAAATGAGACGAATTTGTCGTGTCAGCTGTTTCAAAGTGCACTCTTTTTCCTCGAAGCTTGTGCTTGAGATATGCCTCACAATACGGCTCACAAAAAAACTAGGACGATATTTGAAGCCAATGCCATTTATGCCATACACACTCTTACTTTACAGACTGTATATATAAAATATAATCTATCTTCATTTCTTGGTCAGTATACGCACGCGTGAATATGTGTTACAAACAAATCTAGGTATGAACGTGTAAGAAAGGTGAAATGAAGGTATCTGTAGCACCGCTTATTAGATAAGGCACAATAATGTTTGTTTTTAGATAACGTTAAAAAAATGTATAAACCAGAGAGAATATTTTAATTTTTCGGAATGTTTTGACAATAACAATATTAACGAATGCTTTATTTCAAATTGAAGAAGTATAGTTCAAACGTAAGATAATATGAGTATACGTAAGACAAATATAAGATGTATATACAATGTTATATGTTCAAATATATACACGATATGTATCTTTTCAAGGGTATCAGTTCATACTATTATTAACCGAAATATCGGAATATTATTAGTATAGTTATGTATCTGAGAGGAGTCAGTCGCTTTGTGTACGGATAGAACCTAATCATAGTTATATTTCGAGAATTTTCTTCTGCCATTATTCATAACATATACATCGAAATGTAAATATATTATTTTATTACGAAATGTATTAATCGAATGCGAGAAAAACAGTTATGTAACATTATTTACTTTGTTTAAGAAAAAAAAACTCTTTCTTGAAAAAGTCATGGAAAATATTACGAAATTTAAAATCAATTCAAGATAATCTAAAAAATAGATTTCAAATAAGTCCCTTTTACATATTGTCGCAATATATACATATATATATATATAATTTATGTACATATTAATTTTTATTAATTAATTAATAACATTAGTGTTTCAAGATATGGCGTCGACGAGAGTATTAGGTCTCATTCTCCAGAAAAGTCATTTGATCGCGCGAAATGTATCATTTCGCCGTAATATTCCTCACAATTTCAAATATAATGCTTGTTTTCACATATGGGCACCCAAGAATATGAATATAAAAGAGAATGAGAAAATGACAAATCATAAAACTAAGGGAACTGAAGAAACTAAGAAAGATAAGGGAATAAAGATAAATAATCTACGTAAGTTTTGTTGCCTTTGTTATGTTTTCGTTATATCCTATTATTATTCTATATTGATATTTCGTTTTTCTCTTCTTAGGTAATCAGAGAAAAAGATTAGTCGATGCTATAAGTATAACACTGATAATCAGCAGTATAACATTTTCAATTGTAAAATTAATGAAAGCAATCAAATCTGAAGATAAGATTCGCCCATTTTACTTGAGAACTCTGATACATTGCAGGAAGAATCCCACAATCGTAGATATCCTCGGAGAACCTATCAATATAGTTAAGCAGAAAAATCGTGTTGAACACTAGTAAGTAATTTTCTTCTCTTTGTTCGTGCAGCCAAACTTCATTCATTTTTACCAGGGTTTGTAAGTAACTCGTTACTTGTAGCGAAGTTACAGTTACAATTACTTTTTTTTAGTAACTATAACTTAACTTCGTTCCATTTTTTCATTTGTAATTGCAACTTAACTTAGTTACATATATTTGGTAACTATGTATAGTAACTCGTAGTAACTAATTTAATAGTTACTTTAATAGTTACTTTATATATTTCAAACCTAAGTTTCTGGTAGTAGATATTTATAATATAGACATCTGTGGGTAGCATGATAATGTTACGTGCGATGCTCGATATCTAATAAGCATTAGTTATTCTAGCTGCGTTCGGAAAGTGTGCTATTGCGCATCTTTATCATTCATTAGATGTAAAACAAGGGTAAAACGACGCAATAGCGCTGATAGTCTCCTCTTCGAACGCAATTTGTATTGCTTTTAAAAAATTAAATTCCTATTAAATGTTTCCGTTGCGCGTCGCCAGTCCTTAGTCGTTAACATAACCTGCATTTAGCTTGAAGTACACTGCGTGGTTCCAGTTATTTAAAAATCGAAGCAATGGATAAGACATCGCAATCATTAGAAAAAGATTTTAAAATGCCATGACTAGAATATGTAGAAGTATTATTCATTATTCAATATATTTATAATAAAGTAACATTGTAATATATAACATTTTATATTCATAATAAAGTATAATTAACTAAGGTATAATTTAAATTAATTTGAAATTTGCACAATTATGAAATTTAAAATAATAGCACATTTATTATAGAAAAGTAACTGAAAAGTAACGACTCATTACTTTTTAAGTAACTGTAACTGTAACATGTTACTTTTAAAAGTCAGTAACTTGTAATTGTAACTAGTTACTTTTTCAGTAAAGAAAACTACAACTGTAACTAGTTACTTTTACGAAGTAACTTTCCCAACCCTGATTTTTACAACATGCGAGTTCCGTGACATAAGTAGTGACATAAAGAGCGGCTAATATGCATGTAACGACATACAGGGTGCACGATTTATCTGAAGACATTGAAATATCTCGAGAACTATGCATTGGATAAAAAAAAGTGGTTAATGAAAGTTGTTAGTCTCGAAGGGGGACATCCAATGATATCAAACTCGACCTCCCACCCCACCCCCTGGGGGTGGAGGTTGGGGGCAACTTTGAAATCTTAAATGGGAACCCCCATTTTTTATTGCAGATACGGATTCTACGCCACAAAATACGTAAATTTTATCCGAAACTTTTTTTTTGATTCGTGATAGATGGCGCTGTAATTGCAAAGAATTATATTTTCCGCAATTCTCCAGAAATGATCATTGGATTGAGAAATAAAAAATACTTGTTCAATATTTTTAAAGAACATAATAAAAGTTATTCCCCCCCATCCTCTCGGGGTAGAGTGGGTGATAACGTTCAAATTTCAAATGGGGACCCACATATGCTTCTATCCTGTATACAGTCATTTGAAAAAAGGATCAATAAGTGTATTGAAGTTGAAGGTAAAAATTTCGAACACTTACTCTAATTAATTGAACAGTGAGAGGCAAGGGGACTCACATTAAAAAAGCACCCCGATCTGTGAGAGGCAAGGGGACTCACATTAAAAAAGCATCCGAAGCGAACATAAAACTACTACGTCCTCGTCGTTGTTTCTGTGTAACGCTAAAAGTAGTTTCTCGGAAAAATTCAACGCTATCTATCACGAATGAAAAAAATTGTTTCAATAAAAATTTCACGTACAATCTAATTCTGCAATGAAAAATGTGGGTCCCCATTTGAGATTTGAACGTTATCCCCACCTTACCCCGAGAGGATGGGGGGGGAATAACTTTTATTATGTTCTTTAAAAATATTGAACAGGTATTTTTTATTTCTCAATCCAATGATCATTTCTGGAGAATTGCGGAAAATATAATTTTTTGCGATTACAGCGCCATCTATCACGAATAAAAAAAAAAGTTTCGGACAAAATTTACGTATTTTGTGGCGTAGAATCCGCATCTGCAATAAAAAATGGGGGTTTCCATTTAAGATTTCAAAGTTGCCCCCAACCTCCACCCCCAGGGGGTGGGGTGGGAGGTCGAGTTTGGTATCATTGGATGTCCCCCTTCGAGACTAACAACTTTCATTAACCACTTTTTTTATCCAATGCATAGTTCTCGAGATATTTCAATGTCTTCAGATAAATCGTGCACCCTGTATATAATTTTTAACATAATATTATTTGACTGCTTTCGAATGGAATGAATGAAAGTAAATTTTGTATTGCGTTTCAGTCATAGCTTTTACAGATTAGGAGATGAAACTTTGGAAAAATTTGCTTTTGACATAGTAGGACCAAAAGGAAAAGGACTGGTAGAAGCAGAAATAAAGAAAGTAGGTTAATCGATTTTGACAGATGCAGTCACGAAAACAATATATATTTATGCACTTATATTTTTGATTTTTATTCGCAGTTTGGTCAAGGCAAATATGAGTATCAAACATTGTCTGTTATGATAGATACTTTAGGAACATTTAAAATCGAGCCCAAACCCGAAGATTTAGAAAGCTTGGAAATCTCACAATTTAATTCTTATTTCTCCAATATGTGTTTCCTTAATTAGTAATTATAAGATATCATTATTGTATATTATTACTTATCGTTATATGTACTTTTTATTTATATATTTATACCATGCTTTGTATTATACAAACCATACTGTACTTTCTAAATTTCTTAAATTGAAATTTAACTGAAAATTAACTCAAACTGTTGGTGGCAATATTCTTGCGCTTGAAATGAAGTAACATTTGACTTTTTCATGAAAGTGAAATGAAAGTTCAATTCCAACCGTGAGGTATATACATATGAGTAAGTATTTCAGTTAGTGAAATCAAATTCGCTATTTAATTTGAAATAGTAATATTTATTCAGAAGATTTTCCATTACGGAGTGGGGAAAATTATAGTCAATATTATAAAACGTCATTTGATTTTGTATAATCTGTTGCCCGCTCTCCGTTGAGAGTGGAATTTCACTTGAAGTAATTTGAAGAGTACAATGACATCTTGTTTCTAAATTGTTTTCTTCTTAGTCATTTCAAAATGTTCTGTTTACAATCTAGATCTCTTATTATTGTGACGAACGTAACCGAAAATTGTAAAGTATAATTATTGTTTTCTAAGTGAATTATAAAAATTGATCAAATTTTAATAAAAATATAATTACATATCCTAAGTTACATGTTTGCTTTTTTCATTCTTTCACATATAATCATATTTACCTATTTAAGAAAATTCATGTTGTTTTAGATTTATATCACGTATAATCTAATTTTATCGAAAGACAATGAAATGAAATCCGAATATTGCGTGAATACTCCTCGCCCCTACTATGCTAACGCAACTGGATTATGAAATTCGAAAAATGAATTCTTTTGTGGCGTTATAAGAACGCTAAAAATATACATTAGTCTTATTATAATTTACGCGCGCGTCAAACTTTTATCCTTTATCGAACACTTTATCAAACCCTAACAATTCCTAGTCGTAATTGTTATTAATTTTCCTATAATTTTTGTCGCGTCACGACAAAGATGATATAATAAATAATACAACAAATTATACTGTCCGTAACAAATTATACTATCTTTATTGCACTAATTGCATCATATACATATATGTGCAAGTACATACGAGGGCGGTCCGATAAGTACTTAGCCTCACCGCCCGATGGCGCCACTATCGCAAGAGAAATTTACTATCGTGTAGTACATTCTCGTAGACGGCTACTGTCGAAATTTCAGCCGAATCGGACTCGTAGTTTTGTTTTGACCGCGTGTGGAAGCGGGCGTGTCCGCGGATTTTAGAAAAATGGAAAAAGAGCAATATCGGTCGGTGATTCGATTCTTGTTTTTGGAAGGGAAATCGCGCAGCGAAATCAAAGAGCGCTTGGATGCTGTGTACGGTGACTCTTCTCCTTCGATGGCGACCGTCAAAAATTGGTTTAACGAGTTTCAACGTGGTCGCACGTCGGTTTTTGATGAGCCACGCCCAGGTGCCCCGAAAACGGCTACCACGGAGGATAACATGACAAAAATCCACGATCTCGTATTGGCAGACCGCCGATTGAAGGTGCGCGAGATAGCTGAGACAGTAGGCATCTCAAAAGACCGCGTGGGTCATATCCTGCATGAAATTTTGGGCATGAGAAAGCTGTCGGCGCGATGGGTGCCGCGTTTGCTCACTCCGGACAACAAGCGCAACCGTGAGACCACTTCAGAGCAGTGTTTGACGCTGTTTAAGCGCAATCCGAAGGAGTTTCTGCGTCGTTTCGTGACCGTCGACGAAACATGGATCCACTGGTACACACCAGAGACCAAGGAACAGTCGAAACAGTGGACTTCACCCGGCGAACGTGCTCCGAAGAAGGCGAAGACTGTCCTATCGGCCGGAAAGGTGATGGCCACCGTTTTCTGGGATTCACAAGGTGTGATCTACATCGACTACCTGGAGAAGGGCAAATCGGTCACAGGGCTGTACTATGCCGAATTATTGGGCCGATTCGACGTCGAATTGCAGAAAAAACGGCCCCATTTGGCGAAGAAAAAAGTGCTCTTCCACCATGACAACGCACCGGCTCACACCTCCGCCCTCGCCACGGTCAAATTGGTCGAATTGGGCTACGAACTGCTGCCCCATCCACCGTATTCTCCAGATTTGGCCCCGTGCGACTTCTTTTTGTTTCCAAACTTGAAAAAGTCACTCGCCGGACAGAAATTTGAGTCGAATGAGGAGGTCATCGCCGTCACGGAGGCCTACTTTGCAGACCTCGAGAAAACGTATTTTTCAGACGGGTTAAAGAAGTTGGAGCATCGCTGGGTCAAGTGTATCGAGCTAAAAGGAGACTATGTTGAGAAATAAATCGCCACTTTTCCAAAATTTTCGTTTTTCTTTTGTAGGCTAAGTACTTATCGGACCACCCTCGTATATATAGACAAGGTGTCCCAAAAGTAACGGACCACCCTAATAACTCTTCAGTAATGAAGTTTCAAGGAAAATGATCTCAACAAAAGTTGTAGGGATTTGAGTGAGCTACCTTATGATGACCTTGACTATGACCTTGACCTCTATTTTCAAGGTTATTTGAAGATCAACATACGTTTTTTAAATGGTAATCCTTATCTTTTATTACACTGTTTTTTTCTACTAGTTAATTTGAACAACTTTTATCTAAAACATTTTTTAATTTGCCTAATATTTCTTGAGATATTTGAGGAAAACTTGATAACTTTTTCAATATTTAATTTACGATATCTCGCTAACTATTTGTCGGAAGAAAAAGTGGTACTAGACTTTCTTCCTTTATTTAGTCTCAAGAATATATTGTTACAATAGCGCCCTGACTTTTGTTAACTTGCTGATTTTTGGAAATTTTAAAATCATCAAATTAACAAAAATCAAGGCACTATTGTAACAATATATTCTCGAGGCTAAATAAAGCAAGAAAGTCTAATACCACTTTTTCTTCCGACAAATAGTTAGCGAGATATCGTAAGTTAAATATTAAAATATCAAGTTATCAAGTTTTTCTCAAATATCTCATAAATATTAGGCAAATAAAAAAATGTTTTAGACAAAAGTTGTTCAAATTAATTAGTAGAAAAAAACAGTGTAATAAAAAATAAGGGTTTCCATTTAAAAAACGCAAGTTGATCTTCAAATAACTTTGAAAATAGAGGTCAAGATCATAGTCAAGGTCATCATAAGGTAGCTTACTTAAATCCCTACAACTTTTATTCAGATCATTTTCCTTGAAACTTTAATACTGAAGAGTTATTAGGGTGGTCCATTACTTTTAGGACACCTTGTATACTTATGTATACTTATGTGTAGACAGAGCTCATACAAATGAAACAATAAATTTGGTATCATTTTATAAACAACCACAATAATTATTCTGATATTAATTATAAACAATTGTTGAAAAAATGTGTGCAATGTAATGGAACAAGCTTTGTGGATAAGTTTGAAAAGACATCTGTTGAGGAAAGAACATCCAAAAATACTGAGTATTTTTACTCAATTTTGTTCGAATTTATTTTCAAATGTGATTATATAACTAAAATTTGAGTGTATATACCGACATTTAAAAGTAAATTCAAACAACTGAAACTATAAATACTCAATATTTGAGTGCTTTTTCCGTTAGAAATGTCTTAGGCTTGTTAACTGTTTTCTACCAATAGTGGAAATTATGGATGATAACGAAGGGCGAAGTAACATTAACCTCGTTCAACAGAAAAGCAATTTACTAAACGCTTAATTGATTATTATTTATTATTAAAATATTCTTTTAAATTTTTGACCAATCCAGGAGAACAAACCAATTAGGAACAATAATCACTAAGCGTTTGCTTTTCCTGCTGAATGCGACCATCAGAAATGACGAACATGTCAGTCATATGCTGCCACGTGATTTTTTCCAAATACTTATAAAGCATTTGAATATATACTATATACAGTGTGGCTATAAACTTTCCGGACATAATTTAACAAAAATGATTGGAAAATTTTAAATATTTGATTTTCAATATATATTCTATGCAGCAGTTTGTATGATTCTCCAGCCTTACGTTCTGCTCACGGTCTTTCGTGTTTCGCCTGATCAATATGCCAAGTTTTCCAAAAATAACGGACCTCTCCCTATCTCAGAATCTATACATTATAGGCAAAAATGACCTGAACAAAAGTTTTAGAATTCATAAAGTTCTGTTTCTTGTGACCTCAAATTTGACCTTGACCTCGACCTTACAAGTCATTTGAAGGTCAACTTGCGTTTTTTAATTAGGAACCCCTATTTTCTATCACACTATTTTTTTTTACCAATTCATTTGAACAACTTTTGTCAAAAACATTTTTTTGTTTGCCTAATAAGCCTACTTTGCCTTTTTAATATACTTGAAGAAAACTAGATAACTTTTTCAATATTTAATTTACGATATCTCGCTAACTATTTGTCGGAAGAAAAAGTAATACTAGATTTTTCTGCTTTATTTAATCTCAAGAATATATTGTTAGAATAGCGCTCTGACTTTTATTAACTTTTTCTTCCGACAAATAGCGAAATATCGTAAGTTAAATATTGAAAAAGTTATCGAGTTTTCCTTAAATATCTAAAAAAATATTAGTCAAATAAAAAAATGTTTTAAACAAAAGTTGTTCAAATTAACTGGTAGAAAAAAACAGTGCAATAGAAAATAAATTATATATCGGGTGTTTCAGACCACTCGGGTCACTTGATTTTTTCATTAACATGACATTTTAGAGAAAAATATTTCAGACAAAAGTTGTAGGGCTTCAAAGGATCTATTTAATGACGCTATGAATTTGACCTTGGGATAACCTTGAAAAGTCTAGTCAAGATCAACATAAAAATCTTAAGTGGATATCCCAATTTTTTATTACATCATCTTTTCCTAGCAATTAATTTGAACAACTTTTGTCTGAAGTATTTTTTGGTAAAAATGCCGAATAGGGGACCCCGCTCCTATGATCTTGACCTTGACATATGTTGTCAAGGACACCTTCCTGAGTAACGTGCAAAAAGTCGCTCGTTATTTGTCAAAAAATTATTAGCAAAACAGTTTGGTTTATACGTAAGTAACAAGTGCGTTTAGC